GTAAAAAGTTGACGCCTTCGGGCCAGGTGAGCTAATAAACAAGTTATAAAACATGGCTATTGTTTTCACTATATGAAGATGTTCATGTATGGGTTGAAACAAAACTGTCTTTGCCTCGAGGATACACTTGCGGTTTCCCCACTGGACGTCTACTTCTGGACGAAAACAAATAAAGGCAAGGTGTAGCAAGGGGAAGCAACTCTGTTTACGCACGCCTTTGGCGACCGATCGAGAGCTACGCTCTTATTATGTACGATATGGGCGGACATTGAAGAGTTAGATCCCGTAAAGTACACTAATTTAATATTGTTCTTTTTATTTTATGATTCTAGTCAGATTGTCAAAACTTATGGTGCATGAGCAACATTCATACATAATAAACAAGAGGTAGGTTAGCACTGCATGGCAACTAAGTTGAAATGGAGACTGAAATATTTGCAGGGAGACTGAAATGTTTGCAGGCCATGATATAATAAAGGAAAGAACATGATTGTCCATTAAGTACATAGATTGTGCAATGGAGACTAAGATATTTGCATGATATAATGAAGGAAATATATATTACATAGATTTTCAACAGGTCAACTTAATTAAGATGGGACAGTTAACGTTGTGGACATAGAAATACGTACCTAATACAAGTAATAGATTCTTCGTGTTAGTATCTTTATACTCAATACCTTCAGAAGAGGACTAGTAGACAATTGTATATTACTGTTTTCAGTGTGTACATAATGAAGTCTGTTTATATATTCTACTTGTGATTGTATATAAAAAAATACATAGATTACAAAGATGCCCGAACTGAACCGAAATAACCGAAAACCGACAACAAAAATGATAACTGAACTGAACAAGAGGCCCAAGGGCCTTAGCGGTCACCTGAGTTATATCATAGGTACTGGTAGCTTTATTTTATTGTTTAGATGTGATGTGGAAATCAGCATGTAAACTAAGTGAAATACAATACTTGTCATGTCATCAATGGATAAGAATTTGAAAATATTGGTAAATGTTCCCATTGGGGCCCCGCCCTAGCCCCTGGGGATGGGGCAGGAATCCTAATTTTACAAAGTAAAACTCTCATTTACCCAAGATGATTCTGACTAAGTTTTAGCAATTTTCTGCTGAAAATGGATACAATATATACCGAAAAGTGTTATTTCCCTATATAAACTAAGGTAAATGTTACCCCCTCCCTAAGGGAGAACGGATAGCTCAGGGTCCTGATATTTTCAATTTAAATAAAGCCCCTGATGATCTTTCTTTCCACGTAAAGAAAATCACTGTAGTACCTGAGAGTCTGGAGAAGAAGATTTTTGAAATATTGATTAATTTTCCCTTTGGGGCCCCGCCCTGGCCCCAGGGGTCGGGGTAGGAATCTCAATTTTACAATTTGAAACCATCTACCTCCAAGGATAATTCTCACCAAGTAAAAATAATTTCCTACAGAAAGTTGTCAAAATATACCCAAAAGTGTTATTTCCCTATATAAACTATAGTAAACTTTACCCCCTCCCCAAGGGAGAACGGATAGCTCGGGGGTCCTGAAATTTACAATTTAAGTAAAGCCCCTGATGATCTTTCTTTCCACGTAGAGAAAATCACTGTAGTACCTCTGAGTCTGGAGAAGAAGATTTTTGAAATATTGATTAATTTTCCCTTTGGGGCCCCGCCCTGGCCCCAGGGGTCGGGGTAGGAATCTCAATTTTACAATTTGAAACCATCTACCTCCAAGGATAATTCTCACCAAGTAAAAATAATTTCCTACAGAAAGTTGTCAAAATATACCCAAAAGTGTTATTTCCCTATATAAACTATAGTAAACTTTACCCCCTCCCCAAGGGAGAACGGATAGCTCGGGGGTCCTGAAATTTACAATTTAAGTAAAGCCCCTGATGATCTTTCTTTCCACGTAGAGAAAATCACTGTAGTACCTCTGAGTCTGGAGAAGAAGATTTTTGAAATATTGATTAATTTTCCCTTTGGGGCCCCGCCCTGGCCCCAGGGGTTGGGGTAGGAATCCCAATTTTACAATTTTGAAGCCTCATCTACCAAGGATGATTCTGACCAAGTTTGAAAAAAATCCATCCACTGGTTCTTGAGAAGAAGTTGAAAATGTAAAAGTTTACGCACGACGACGGACGAAAAGCGATTAGAATAGGTCCCTTGAGCAAAGCTCAGGTGACCTAATAAAAACTAGAATTATGTCAGTGTGACATTAAAGCCGCTCACTACTTTAAATTTAATTGCTTCAGTAACACGTTGAGCATCAATATCTACTATAATACCTCAGATATGTGTTCTGTATTTTGCTAATTGAACAAGAGGCCTAATGGGCCTGCATCGCTCACTTGGTATAAATCTCACACTTGTAACCTTATAATTGATCTAAAATAAAGCTACAGGCAAAATATCAGTATTTATGATTAAAATTCATTCAAAAGAGCCTGTTAATTTTTTTTTAAACATTTCTCCCCTGTGATTGAAAGTCGAACAAAGTCATTATGTTGAACAAATTTTAAAGCCTTTCATCTCAGGATGCAACTTGCAAAGTATCAAAATCCTGGGACCCATGGTTATTCAGAAGAGGTTATTTAAAGATTTTAAACAAATTTGACCCCTGTGACCTTGAATATAAGTCAAAGTCATTCACTTTAACAAACATAGTAGTCCTTGATCCGAGCATGCTACTGACTAAATATCAACATCCTGAGCCTTTTGGTTATTCAGAACAAGTTCTTTAAATATTTTGAACATATTTGCTCCTTGTGACCTTGAATATGATTCAAGGTCATACATTTAAACAAACTTGGTAGCCCTTCATCTCAGCATACTACTGGCCAAATATCATCACCTTGGACATTTTGGTAGATGTTTAAAGTTTTTAACATATTTGACCCCTGTGACCTTGAATATCGGTGAAGGTCATTCATTTGAACAAACTTGGTAGCCCTTCATCTCAGCATGCTACTGACCAAATATTATCTCCCTGAACAGTTTGAAGCTTTTGACATATTTGACCCCTGTGACCTTGAAAATGGGTGAAGGTCATTAATTTTAACAAACTTTGTAGCCCTTTATCCCAGTTTGCTTCTGGCCAAATATCATCACCCTAGGCCTTTCAGTTATTAAGAAGTCGTTTAAAGTAAAATATTGAGGACGAACTCCTTTTTATTTTTATTTTTTTCATATTAATAATAATTATTAATATATGTAGTGACTTTATTTACTGTCATTGAATATACAAAATCTCACAAATGTTCTCGGAATATATTGAATTATATTTCTCAATGTGACTTTACCAACGTAAGATTTATTTCCCTTACACCGGATTAGATAATATTTTGACACGGCACAAATTCTTGTCAAACAGCAGCGGCAGTTGTGTCATGTTCTTAAATTGTTACATTTTCATAAATAAATACATCAGAAATAGCATGCTGTGTTACAGAAATGTTTGATAAGCATACACGGTTCACATATCGTCTCGTCTCAGAGCCATTACCGTTAACAACCTAAGCACAATGTCATATTACGTTCCCGTTTGAAACATCAAAATAGAGGTTATACTTCATCATTCATACAGTTTATAAGTATATATATATTTACTTCGAATTCTTCCTTCTACAGACAGCATCAACAGTCTCCACATGTGCTTTCACGAATCATATGTGTTTCACACGCGTAACACTCATCAGACCTCAATATGAGTTGCTAAAGCGCTCAAACCCAGTGCACGAATTTCACCACCACAACCCTCGTATAATGCACCGGAGATAAACATTTTGTTTTCAGCAATTATGCAGTATCATTTGGAGAAGAGTATCAGTAGACTTTATGTAACCCACAGGTGAATGTCAGAGATTCTATTTTCTATTTACGATAACGAAGCTATGTAGCGGAAGCCTGCAAGACTGAATTATGTGCACGCACCCCGAATGGAAGTGAGTCCGTCATTTCGTTCTCTGGACAGAATTAATAAGCCGCTTGGCTCTCGCCAAGAGCGGCTTAAAAATCTTGAACCGTGACACCCCTAGTCATGACAGAAAATAATGGTTAAATAGGTCTTGTCTATCAGGTCCAGTACACTCTGCCAATTGAGCTATATAGCTGTAAAGACCTATAATAGCTGTATTGACCTACCCTATCTGAAATAGGTCTTTTGAGCTATTTTCATGTGACTTTCTTTTTTAAGGAAAACAAAACAAAGTTGCTATTAAAAGAAGATTTTATCATTAGGTTGATGACAAAAGACATTAAATATGAGCATTCTTTTTAAAAAATAATGATGTAAAGAAATCGGAAATTTTACATTTATGAAAAATGAAAATAAACATCTAAATGTATGCTTATTGTAGTTAACATTACCATAAACCTTCTTGTTTTATGTGACTTCGTTTGATTTAATGAAAATTTAAATATTAGAAAATATAGCTCAATACAGCTATAATTTATAGGTGAATATAGCTATTTAGGCCTTTATAGCTATATATAGCTCAATCGGCAGAGTGTACTGGACTTGTCTATGTTTACATGGTTGATCATTTGGTTAGCTACGGTAATGACTAATGATACATACGGTTGTTTTAAGTGCACTGAAACATAGTTTCAGTCTACACACGTCATGTTTTAAAATATATTTTTGGAAGAAACTTAATTCCCGATGAAAATGGGAACACAACGAAACCAGGAAATGGAAAATACACGAAGTTATGTCCCTTGTTAATTGATAAAATACCGCGGTTTCTGATATTTCTGACACATGTATATTCACAACATAAAATGATTAATACCAATTACCTCTTTTTTTTAAACAAAATCAGAAACACGACAGTCCAGTTAATACTCTTTACATATGATGACAGTAAAATACTAACTTAGGAATATCCATGAAGCACATCTACTTTGCTACCTCAGCTGGCTACCCAGTAAACTTCAAAAGAGCCGACTGGGTGCGGACCTATATATGTCGCCTATCCGCAACGTAAACAACTTACCTCACTTTTAAATTGGACATAAAAGCTGACATGGACACTTCTGGTAACAGGACGAAATCCCCTGTACCATATTCCGGTCCTTCGTGTATGCTACCTGCCATTCTGTTAAGTTTTCTGACAGTCACATAGGCTATTAGCCTAGCATTCTCCACACAAAACCTACCACACAGGTGCTCGTCGGTAGATGGCGTAACCTCCAGTGTATTCCGTGGGGCCCATCGATGGGGAATTTTTCTTATCGTGTAAGCCCAATCAGAAACATATATCTACATAATGTAATTTATATGTCTCTGGAGAAATATAACATTTTTATTATATATCTAGCTATGTTATAATATACAACTTATACTGTTATAAAAAGCACGGAATTAGCTGTTTGCACTGAGATAGTTTAATTAGATTAATCTAAGTCCGTGGTTTAATATTTTTTATAAACGAATGTTCACGGAATTAAGGTGAAGGTACGGAAGCCCATACGTGTCATCTTGATTTTTTTTTCTTATCTCGTTATAACAAGATATATATAGCTATCTCGTTATAACTAGATACCTTATCTCGGTATAACAGGTAGCCTGATATCGTTATAACAAGACAGCTTATCTCGTTATAACAAGATAGCTATCTCATTATAACAAGATAACTTATCTCGTTATAACTAGATAGCTATCTCATTATAACAAGATAACTATCTGTAGTATGGTAGTGAATAAAACAAACAATGACCCAAATGTAATCGGTAGGTATATCGCACGAGCTGTACTGGACATGGGTGAAATACCAACATTACTTCGATGTGACATGGGGACCGAAAACAGTCTTGTAGCTGACATGCAAAGTGTTTTCGCATGGGGGGGGGGGGGGGGGGGGGGGGCAGGTTCATCTATGGCACTAGTCAGCACAATCAACGCATAGAAGCATGGTGGTGCATTCTTCGGGAAAAGAATGCCCAGTTCTGAATGTCTCTGTTTGAAGACATCAAGACAGACTGATGGTTTTCTGGCGACTATGTTTTCTTATCTGTTATCATTTATAAAACAAGGCCAACGCAGAATTTTATACACAGACAAACTTTTTATTCATGTGACATTATTCTGTTATGGTGAAAGCTTCAGGTTGAATCCAGGTCGTCGTCAAATGAGAATTTTTGTCATGGAAATTAATCCTCATTTAAGTTCGAAGATTCTAGTCGCTACCATTTTTACTTTTTAATTTAACATGAAAATTCCTGACCTAAAATTTAAGTTAGAATTCAAACCGACCTGGATTTTCAACATTTGAATTGTACACGTTTTCAAATTTAGTTTGTTTTATAACGATAAACTGCCCAGTATTGTCTCGGCATAAAACAAAGTACACTATGTGAACAAGGTAGCGATAAGGAATACAAAAAACTCGACAAGATTGGCAAGGAAACACAATCGATCAACACTAATTGAGTCAAGAGAGACATGGCATCAAAACGTGTTCTCGAGTGACATGTTGTGTTTTTGAAAAAATAGATATGTGGAAACGTTTGCTATGCTAACTGAACTGTATGACTCGTACGCATAAGTAGGTATCGGGAAAATCCATTATGAACAACACACAAACATGAACAAATGTCATACAACTGGTCACATCATGCTTCGTTTCGTTTAGTTTAAGACGAAAGAGATATTAGAATAGAAATTATTGAGATTGAGAAAAAAAAATTAGAGAAAATTAACGACGACAACAGTAGGGATCATATCTACTGAGAAAATGCGACCTATTGTAATCGTTACTCCGTTTGCAGCAAATATTTATTTAAGAACCAAACATGTCTCTCCTTTATCATCATATTGTGTATTTTGTGTCGTGGTATGGACTTGCCTGTGTCACACAATGTTGTCTCATGACCCAAAAACAATGAAACACATCCAAATGACAGTTGGACTATGTGGCTAATTAACGTAATGTTTAAAGATATGTCCGTACCATATTACGTCGTCTGCTATCGACGGACGCGTAAAATAAAACTATTTTACCAAGCTCTTTTTCAGTTTTGCAGACGCAAACACTGCTATCAAAATTATCCATGAAAAAGGTTACATAACATGCGAAAAACGTCCAGCGTTTAAGTATGTGACAAAAAGAAACTACTTGTTTAAAAAGTTTCTAACAAAAAGTTCCTGATAAAGTCGAATATATGTGACATAAATTAAACAATGTACATCAACCAGATGTCACAACTAAGTAAAGTTTTGAATTCATTTCTGAAAATTGTGAAACTTTCATAGTTTCTGGGAAGTTGAAGAACTCGTCCGCATGTTCTGCCAGTCGGACGTCGTTGCAATCCAAACAAATTCACAAACTCGACGGTTATTTGCCCCAAATCTGCAAATATCAGGTCCGAACCGGTACAGAACCACAAAAAGTTCTTCAGTAGAGGTTTGTCTAGCTCTCTAATGAATCTCCTGGTATGTTTCGCTACTTCTGCTTCTAGAAGGGACATGTTGGCGGGAAACCGTATTAATTTGAGAACTTTCTTTGAAGTCGGTTCCATCTCAGCATAAATTTCATTTAGACGATCGCTTGATATCATGGATCATAGTTGTTTCAAGACATCGGTCCAGCAGTTGACGATAACTTTTGGTTCTCCTCTAGAATCTGGGACAGAGTATCTTTTGTGACATTTGACCGGCAGTTGTAGTTGTCTAAGGCACCAAGAAGTCATCTTGGTCAACACACTATCGAAGTTTTGCAGGGCCATTGTGAACAATTTGTTTTCTGAATCTGTGATATACTTCATGAAATGTTCGAGTAAATTCGATACCTGTTTACCGTATATTGCATTTGTGATCACCGATGCAGACAAGAAAGCAGGAAAGAACATTAGGCATTGATATCCTTTAAATATGATTCTTGCAACAGCAGTCCAATGCTTCGTCTGAAAATCATGTCTTATGATAGGAATCTTCTCATGGTTTCTGACACAGCATTGGTCTATGAACTCGGTCCAAAACCCTGTGACACAGTCTCGGAAAACTCCATCTCCTGATCCCTTCCCCTCTTGTCCACTTGGTAATACTTGTGTCATGTTAAATGTTGTAGCATCAACAACATCTGGATTGGAAAACTGTTGTATCATTTCTTTTAGTGCATACCCTCTGTGAATACGTAATGTAAATGTATTCTTATCTGGCTCCTGATAAGGAAGTGTTGTACCCAGACTTCCCGTAACGGAATCATCAGTATCTGTGTTTCGAAAAAAATCCCTCCGAGTCTCTCCTTACAAGGGATATGTCTCCTATCGGGTTTAGCACTATATTTTCGTTTGACGTTCCTACAGTTTCTTCCCTTTCAAAGTATGATGGGAATGATGTATCTAGAGGCTCTTCTTCCAAGGACGGCAAGGAGGATGTCTCAAATTTATCCGTACTCGTGTTCCACTCAGTGAACAATAAAAACGCAGCATTCCCAGCTTACATCTCTCATATTCATGTTCATCAGTTGTTTGTTCTTCAATCGACTGACACTTAAAATCCTTTGATGTTATCACTAATTCATCCATTGAACCACAACTGATTCACACTTTGGAAAGAACAGTGCCTTAACTGTACTCAGCAATTCTTCCATTGTCAACTGTTTGCTTACAGTTAAATGTCTAGTACCACCACCTGTTTTCTCTCTAACTTGTTTTGCCTTTCCGGTGTCACTGTGCAACCAGCTCAGCTCTATTCGTCGTGTTGATTTTAGTGCATTTGTATTTCCAACTGCTTCTTTGTCTGTCGTTGAGGTCTGAATGCTTTAATCTCAATCGGCTTCTTATTTTAGAAAAGAGAAGTGCTGAAGTGATCAGAGTAAAAGAGGAGTGCTGAAGTGATAACAGCATGAGAAGAGTGCTGCAGTGATCAGAGTTTGAGGGGAGTGCTGAATCGATCAGCGTTTGAGAGGAGTGCTGAAGCGATCAGAGTTTAGTGCTGAAGTGACACCAGCTTGAGAAGAGTGCTGAAGCGATCAGAGTTTGAGAGAAGTGCTAAAGCGATCCCAGTTTGCTGAAGTGATCAGAGTGAAAGAGGGGTGCTGAGGTGATTTGAGTTTGAGAGGAGTGCTGAGGCGATCCGAGTTTGAGAGGAGTGCAGAGGTGATCGGAGTTTGAAAAGAGTGCTGAAGGTATCCGCGTTTGAGAGGATTGCTGAAGTGATCAGAGTTTGAGACGAGTGCTGAAGTGATCAGAGTTTGAAAGGAGTGCTGAAGTGATCCGAGTTTGAGAGGAGTGATAAAGTGATCAGAGTTTGAGACGAGTGCTGAAGTGATCCGAGTTTAAGAGGAGTGCTAAAGCGATCGGAGTGTGAGAGGATTGCTGAAGTGATCTGAGTTTGAGAGGATTGCTGAAGTGATCACGGTTTGAGAGAAGTTCTGAAGCGAGCCAAGTTTGAGAGAAGTGCTAAAGCGGTCCGAGTTTGCGAGGAGTGCTAAAGTGATCCGAGTTTGAGAGGAGTGCTGAAGAGATCCAAGTTTGAGAGGAGTACTGAAGCGATCAGAGTTTTAGAGAAGTGCTAAAGCGATCCGAGTGTGCGAGGAGTGCTGAAGTGATCAGAGTTTGACAGTAACGCTGAAGTGATTAAAGTTTGAGAGGAATGCTAAAGTGATCAGAGTTTGATAGGAGTGCTGAGATAATCCGAGTTGCAAAGGAGTGCTTAAGTAAGATCAGAGTTTGAAAGAAGTAGTGCTGAAGTGATCAGAGTAAAAGAGGGGTGCTGAGGTGATTTGAGTTTGAGAGGAGTGCTGAGGCGATCCAAGTTTGAGAGGAGTGCTTAAGTAATCAGGGTTTGAGAGAAGTGCTGAAGTGATCAGAGTTTGAAAGAAGTAGTGCTGAAGTGATCAGAGTTAAAGAGGGGTGCTGAGGTGATTTGAGTTTGAGAGGAGTGCTGAGGTGATCAGCGTTTGAGATGAGTGCGGTAGTAATCCGAGTATGAGAGGAGTACTGAAGTGATCAGAGTTTGAGAGAAGTTCTGAAGCGATCAGAGTTTGAGGGGAGTGCTGAAGTGATTAGAGTTTGAGAGGAGTGCTGAAGTGATCAGAGTGTGAGAGGAGTGCTGAAGTGATCCGAGTTTGAGAGGTCTGCTGAAGTGATCAGAGTTTCAGAGAAGTACTGAAGTGATCAGAGTAAAACAGTGGTGCTAAAGTGATCCGCGTTTGAGAAGAGTGCTGAAGCGGTCCT